TCCACAGCTCCGTCAGCAGCTCACTAACTGAGCTGGAGGATGGGGACAGGGTGCTTAACGAATACACAGCTGAGACTACCCCAGGGGTACACCGGAGAGCTGGGGTGGGAGACAGATGAATTTGGCAAATAGACAAAAAAAGGGGGAAAGGAAAGGAGGGTGTGATTCTGGAAAGATCAATGCAGGATTCTGCTCTTAGGTACGAATGATGTTGTGCACAGGCAGGCTGGAGAGCAAGGCTGCAGGGAAGGGTGAATCACAGCCTGTGCAACGTCATTTGGGGGGGTGGTTGTTGTTGTTGTTACTATTTATTTATTTTAAACCCAAGCCGACTAGGATATTTGCTCTTAACACATGCTTGTGAAGCAAGACACCCAATGTTTGAAGCCAGCAAAACCCGAGCCCGGAGTTTGTGCCCAGCTGCCTGCATTACCTCTCCCAGTACAGGAGGAGCAGCTGGCAGAGCCTGCAGGACTTTATTCTGGATACAGCAAGTCTGTGAACACGCAAGAGGGTGCTGCAGGGAGTTATGAACCCGCTCCCAGCATCCGATGGGGATAGGAGAAGTCATAAGCTTAAATTTCAGCAGAGAGTCAGGCTACTCATTAGGACGCCCTGTGAGCCCAGCAGCTCCTGGGGAGCTGTGGTGGGATGTCCAAGACCAGTGGGGTCACTTGGGGCTGACACAGGAGTCGATCTAGGGATGGCCTGGACGGTTTCAAGGTTTCTGAAGGTTTCTCCCAGCCCTACCTTACTACTGTCCCATGAAACGGCTGCTTCAGGGCACAGGCACAGACTCTGACCTGGTGCCTGAGCTCTCCTGGGCTTCCCCAACGCTTGGGTGGCAAAGGCAGAGGCCAAGGCAAACCTGCGTGAAGCCTCCCCTGTGGCTGCGTTTGCCTGTGCAAGGACTTTGTGTTGCCCACCCCAGGAACACAGGTTGCCTACACCAAGGCGGTCCAGACCCCGGCCAAGGGAATGCCCTGCAGACCCGGGGGAGAAGCACAAATCCCCATGCCTTAGCCCAAACCTGCCACCTCACCCAATGCTCCCATCCAGCTTTTCCCAGAATGCAAGAAAACCCAAATAAAATCAATAGAGCAGCACAGCAAGGCCGTGTGCGGGTCCTGCTCTCCAGAGTGAAATAGGGGTTTCTGGAGAAGAGCGGGGTTCGGAAAGCGGCGCGATGCCACCATCTCTGCCGGACACCCGGCTTCAGGTGACAGCCAAAGCCCTTGTCAGAGCACCCTGTTCACAGCTGTATGCTGGGCGTTAAAAAAAAATAAATAAAAATAAGGCAACACCGCTGCTGAGATGGCCGAAGACAAAGGTTTTGCTGCAAGAGCAGACAAATCAAGGCTCGCCCGCTGTGGCGTGCTGCGGGCAGGGGCAGCAGGCAGCGCTGTCGGGCAGGGAATGGCAGGGAGAAGCCATCGAGTGCTCCATGAATAATCCCAAGCCGCCCCCAAGAGGCTGGTGTTCCTAAAGGGGCCTCCCAGAAGGAAAAACCATCAACTCCCCACCAGATCCTATATGTTTTCCTCGCACTGGCCATAAGGCTCACTGGAGGGTCCAGGCAGGGGACCCTCGCCACGTCACGGGGCAGCCGTGGGGCACGCGTGCCTCTGCTGCAGGCGTGCAGGGACACGGGTGGGGAGGCTGCGGTGCCCCCTCCCACGGTGGGTGAGAGGGACCGTGCCCCAGGGTGCTCCCACCCAGGCTCCCGTGGGAAAAAACACGGTTTGTATCCGAGAGGACTGGGGAAACACATTGAGTCAGGGGACCGGGTGACAGGCTGCTGGGGTGGGGGACACCCGCACCCAAACCAGGGTGCCAGACGCCCTGAGCATCGCTCCGCCTGTCAGAGGATGCTCTGCGCAGGGCTGCCCTGGTGAAACCCCCCCCGCAAGGCTGTTATTCTCCTTTGCTGGAAAAAAGGGAGAAAGATGCTTCCCCACTGCAGACAACCATCTGGCTGCAGCTGCGCGGAGCAGGACCCAGCCCAGGTTTCCCTGGCTGCCCACGTTGCAGGGGCACCGCGTTTTCCCCTTCAGCAGCAGCTGGGCACGCAGCGAGTGCCGGGGAGCCGCTGCCACCAGCTCCGTCCCTCCTGCTCCCACCGACACCCCGGGAGCGGGGCGCCAGGCACCACCACGGACCTGGGTGCTCAGCAGCAGAACAGCTTGCTCAGAGGCATCGTTAGGGTTATGAGCCAGCCAGCCCTGCTGTGTTTTGCAACCTCCTTTTGGGATACAGTGAATCAGGCTTAGCAAACCCCATAATAATCAACGGCTGACTCCTTAGCTTTTGTACGAGCCCCTGCTGCCCTGTGCCCTGCCTCCCAGCCCAGCCCCAACACGGACCTGCTTTATTCACATAATTACAAGGAAAGCAACACCGAAACACCAGGCAACAAAACAAAAGGCAAACTCCCTCCCTCCTGCCACGCCAGCGTGCTCAGGCTATGGGCAGGTTCCCAGTGCCCAGGCTCACTGTGACTGGGATCCACTGGTTTCCCCAGCCTTGCCCACAGGACAGACAAACCCACCAGGAGCAGCAGGACCCTCTGCCCCTTCCTGAGCCCCACGCACAGCCTAGGGATGCAGCCTTACCTGGGGGGTGGCTGGGGCTCACGGGGGGTCAGCGCCAGGGGGGCTGCAGCTGAAAACGTGGGAGCAGCTCTTGCCCTGCAGCCAGGGCTACAGGGCTGAGGTGTGGGGCTTTTCTGGCTCCCAGCTGGAAATGAGGGCTAGTGGGAATAGCAACCGCGTTATCGGGTGGGCTTTCAGGTGTGCTTGCAGGTGCAGGCAGCCTCCCTCCCTGCCTCTCCTCAGTGGGCTCAGCTGCTGCTATGGGGCCCGCTTGGGCACGGGCATGGGCACGGGCACGGGCACAGCCGGAGCACGCAGGAGCGAGCGGCAGCCGCCCTCGACCGCGCAGCCAGGGCGAGCAGGGCCAGCATCCAGACCTCGCCTCCCAGATAGACCTGGGATTTTTATTACCGAACCGCGAGAGGCTGCGAGGCGTGATGCGGCTGCCCTCAGCCGCCCCAGCCCCTGCCCAGAGGCGAGAGCCCCCCTGCGCTGCCGTCATTACCAGGTTCCTGCAGCCACTGTCGCCTCGACCTGTGCAGTACGGCACAGCCAGGTGCCACGCAGGGCCCGGGCAGGGGGGCGAGGGGCCAGGAGGGTGCTCCCAGCCGTCCCTGCAGCTCCTGGGGCTTTACTTTTGCAAGTACTTTTGCCTGGATATTACGGAATCATAGAATCGTTTAGGTTGGAAAAGACCTTTAAGATCATCCTGGCACACTGTATGAATTCAGTAAGACTTGTAATTGCAGCTGGAATTGGTATTTAACACACTTTCAAGATTTTTAAGAGGAATCTTTGTGCTTAAAACAGAACTCCCCTGCCCCTTGAGGTTTTATTTTGCTTATTGAGTGTTTAGGGCCACCTCTGCTTAATAAAAAGAAAAAAAAGCAAATCTGTTGCCTTTTAAGAGATGAGACTTGAGCCTTCCCGGTCTTCACCATCTCTCTTGACATTACTAAGTGTTCCTCGAGGCAAAACCTACATCTCCCAGAAACGCGGGGAGGAAAGAAGCAGCAGAGCAAGTCCCCTGTGCCATCCCACACCACAGCCCCCTTCATCCCCAGTGGAAAAAATAATCATTGCATGGCAGACTCCTTAAATCACTAGATTTTAATAGCCATATAAATCCTTTGCATACAGCAATCTGTGGCATATGAGAAACCGTATAGACACCCAACAACTTCTTCCGGCTTTTACCACATAAAACTATCAGCATTTTTTTTTTTTTTTACCAACTCCTGTAGTAGAAACAATAACCAAGCCATTAACAGCAAATTTCTAGTTTTCTAAAAGAACAATGTTTCTTCTCTTCAAAAGAGCAGAGAAGCCGATGGGGAGTTTCAGATATATGTACAGATTGGGGTACCTCGGAAAGACGGCAAGAAGATGGCTGTCAGCCCCGCAAGCGCGCGTACCTGGTCTGCGGGGGTCTCCAGCAGCACCCGGTGCCAGCCCCCGAGGAGGGCTGGGGGTGACCGAGGGGTGACGGCCGCCTGCTGCTTTGCCTTCGAGAGGACCACGCGCTGCCTCGCCCCCCAGCAGCCGCGGGTCCTGCCGAGACCAGGACCAGCCCTCTCCCCCTGGGACAGGCGGTGAGGGACCGCGCCTGGGGAGGTGCAGGATCTGTCCCCGTACACCACCTCGCAGGCTGCAAAGCGTAGCTTGTCTGCATTGCCCGTCTCTATCTGTAATTCCACTCGGTCAGGAGCTATAAACCATCGAGAGGACGCACAAGCACACCGTACGTTTCCACCCCACCACCCAGCGCCTCGCAGGCGAGCTGTCCCCCTCCTCGCCGCCCAGCGAGCTCAGGAGCCCGCACCCCCCCATTCGCATACATAGCCCACTCCCACCTCTCACGCCTGGTTTCACTGATGTCGCCGTTCGCAGAATTCACGGAATTCATTAACAAAATTGTTATTTACATCAACAAGTTCAGCAGCACGACATGATAGAAGAGCTGAGACGAGAGTTTGCCCGAGTTTGCTGACTCGCACCCTGCCCACGGGCTTATTGCTGACTCGGGCTCGGGGACCGAATCGCTCCGGGCGGTTTCCGTCCCTCTGGTTCACACAACGGTGGCGAAGCTGCTGGCTGCACCCCGAGTTTTCACTTGCTATCTTCACCCTCGGGGGAACCATCCCCTGGGCGAGGCGGGCTGCGCGCGGGTGCCGTACCCTGGGCAACGTTAAGGCATTACGTATACGCAGGAGCCGTTCAGGGATTTCAAAAAACCCACTCAAAGTGTAAACATTTTCACACATACAGTCATTGGACTTCCACGCATGAAGTTTTCTCTTGTTTTGTGCATAAATCACGAGTTAAGGAGCTACACAAAGAGCACTCGAGCAGACGCCTGGAGCACTGGGGTTCTCTTACAGCACGGCAGCATGCAACGCGACAGACTCTAAGTAGTAGAAATATTGTAAGTCCAGGACGCTTCCTCCTTCCTACGTTTCTTACATAGTTTAGGTAAATGTCATTAACAACTACGTGCCAGTAGCTCGGGTAAGCTGGGCGGCTGTGTAAGGAGCTTCAGCACACGGCATGGCTAGTGCCTGGTGATTTCGGCTCATTCCTACTTTATCTCTAAGTAGAAAAGGGAGAGATTCTGCTTCTGTTCCTGTATCTATGGAGGTTGCTCAATGACCCGTAGGTCGCTGTGCCGGCGGTGCTATAGGTTTAGGTATCAGTGATTCGACCTTCCTCAGGGACTTTGGCACATTCACCCCGATTCATACAAGATCCCTGAGAACTATCAAAGCTGCAGTACTTTACAATTTAAAAGACCTGGCATGGGTGCCCGGCTCCCCGCCATGCTCACGCCTGCTTCTTGTTGTTGTCCATGTTGTGCAGCAGCGCCAGGAACTCCAGGATGAGGTTGGCCGTCTTGCAGGGCCGCTCCACCACCACCGAGTGCCCGCAGTTCTCCAGGATATACGTGTGGCAGTCCGGGATAGCGCTCGCTAAAACACTGGCGCCAGAAACATCCAGGACCTGGGTGGCAGAGGAAAAAATAGTCACTCCCCCAGGCAGAGCTAGGTTTTGCTGCCCACCGTAGAAACCCTGTTGGAGCTGCCTTTGCAAGTCCAAGGGAGATGCTGAACAGGGATGCGGACATGGTCCTTGGGATGGCAGCTCCGTCCCGCGGTACCCACGCCCGGGGACAGGGCAGGGAGGCTGCGCGGTGCCGGTCTCAGTATGCAGCAGGGAACTCTCTTGGATGTTTTTTAGCCGCCAGCTCAGTGCAAAGGGGTCACTGCAAGCAAAGGCTTGCACCTTTGCATTTGCACAGCCCGTTGCACGCCTGCAGTTCGCCTCCTTCCCCACCCCCCGCCTCCTCCCTCCATAACCATCCCTACACAGAAACATGGAACAAGAGACGAAGCCCCATGCCTTTGCCTCGCCGCCTGCCCACGGACAGCACATTTCTCCCCAGTTGCCAGGACAACTCTTTTTGCTGGCACTTTATTCCTCTTCCCAGCCCACGCCTGCCGCAGCGCTGGCACCGGCTCCCCCCGTGCCCTCCCCAGCCCCGGCTCTGCCCTCTCCTCCCTCTGGCCCCGCGCTGCCTGGCAGCTTTCCACCCACCACCCCACCGAGCCCCCGTGTCCAAACCCACCGGGGACGGGGACATGCGAGTGCCAGCTCGCTGCAGCGCAGCGCGCAGCTCGGCAGCACAGCCCGTGCCGTGCCCCCGTGGGTGGACGCGGGCAGAGACGGCGGCAGGGTCCCACGGGGGAGGCGGAGGGGGCCGTGTACCTGGTCCTGCTTTCCCCAGATGACCTGCGTCGGGGCTTTGATCTTGCTCATGTTCTCGTGGAGAGAGTGCCTGGACTTTTCACCCACAATTTCTAAAAACACTAGTGGGGGCAAGAGGAGAGTCAGCCCTATGCGAGAGGGATGCTTTGCCCTCCCTCCTTGCGGGGGTCCCTGCGGGCCAGCCCTGCCAGCATCCCCTTGGTGGGAAACCCCGGGCAGGGGTGACGGGAGAGCCCCGCCGGGCTGTCCTTGCACTGCCACCAAGCAGCTCTACGGAGAGATCCTCCTCCAAGCCCATCTCCTCCGAGGTATTAGTGCTAATTAACCCAGCTGGGGGGGGTAAGGGCAAAGCAGCCACCCCATCGCCCACGGGGGTGGCAGGGAGTTGCTACCAGCTACCGAGGTGCATCCCCAAATCTGTTAATCGCATTGCCCCCTCCCACCCTCAGCAAGGCAGCAGGGGGTGCCGGGGCCAGGTGGCGTGCAGGGGACACGGCCCGGGGGTCCGGCGGGAAAGCCCGGCCAGAGGGGCTGCCGCCGCGCACTTACGTTTCCGGTAAAAATCATTGTGTGGGATGCGAACGTCAACGAGGCCCTGGAGGATCTGCAGGGAGAGCAGAGGAGAGCTGCTGGGGGGACCCGCACCCTGCCCGGGGCTGAGCGCGCCCGAGCGCGCCCCGTGCGCGGCAGGTGGCCGGCAGCGTGCCCCCGCCCCCCCGACGTGCCCTGCGCCGCCGGCCCCAGCGCGAGCTCCTTCCTAACGACCTCTGGCCGTTCCGA